CAAGGCTGATGCTCTACTACTTGAGTCAAAATCTCCACTTACAGCTGTTTGATTAACTGAAGATACGAGTCTTGTGGGCTTCCCTGCCTGGGCTGGCTTTGAACCACAATCCTCAAATCACAGCCTCCTTAGTAGCTAGCTTAAAAGGATACAAGTCAGGTTGGAGTAGAGTCTACACTAATTGCCTTTGTCATTCTGTTTGGCATAGTTCATTTAATAAGATTCTCTGATTTTATTTTTTTTAATTTTTATTTTTATTGTGAAAATACTGTACAGAGGGGTTACAATTACATGGGCAAGATAATGAGTACATTTCTTATCAAGCATTGTAGCCTCCTCCTTTGTTTCCCCTTCCCCTCCCCCCCCCATTCTCTGATTTCATTACAACTGACCATTACAATGTCAATGAGACCATGGACCTCAAGTGCTCTTCTCAGGTAAGAAAGATGTCAAGTGTTGAGCTGGGCACCAGTGGCTCATGCCTGTAATCCTCAGTACTCAGGAGGCTGAAATTTGAGAATCATAGTTTGAAGCAAGCCCAGGCAGGAAAGTCCATGAGACTATTATCTCCAATTAACTACAAAAAGCCAGAAGTGGAGCTGTGACTCAAATGATAGAGCACCAGCCATGAGTGAAAAGCTAAGGGACAGTACCTAGGCCTCATATTCAGCCCCAATATTAGCACAAAGAGAAAGGAAGGAAGAAAAGAAGGAAGGAGAGGGAAGGGAGGGAGGGAAGGGAGAGAGGGAAGGGAGGGAGGGAGGGAGGAAGGAAGGAGGGAGGAAAAGAAGTCCAGAGAAGAAGGAAGAAAGAAAGAAAAGAAAGAAAGAGGGAAATAGAATGAAAGAAAAAGGAGAGAAAGAAAGAAAGCGTACATAGGAAGAGATAAAGGAAGAAAGGAAGAAAGAAAGAAAGAGAGAGAGAACAAAGGAAGAAAGAACAAAGGAAGAAAGACAAAGGAAGAAAGGAAAGAAGGGAGAAACAAGTTGTCAACTTTTCAATTTTTTGATGATGTGTAGGTAGGTTAGCTTGGTTTAGTTAGCTTGCTTTGATCACTCCTCATAGTATCCAAATTATAGCACCACTTTGTGCTCTGTAAACAGGGACAAGGGTAATTCACCAACATGTAACACATACTTGGTAAAAACACCACCATTTCAGGAAAGGTTTCAGACCTTTCTTTTGGGAACCAGCTCTATAAGCACAGACTGGCATTTTGTTGGTGGTGGTGGTGGTTGTGGGGCCTGAACTCTGGGCCTGGGCACTGTCCCTTAGCTCTTCAGCTCAAGGCTAGTGCTCTACCACTTTAGCCACAGTGCCACTTCTGGTTTTTTCTGCTTATGGGGTTCTGAGGAATTGAACCCAGGGCCTCATGCGTGCAAGGCAAGCACTCTACCACTGAGCCACCTTCCCAGCCCTATACTGGCACTTTTAAGAGGAATTCTCCAAATGATTTTTCCACAAAATGTAATAGTTCCAAAAAGTACCAGCAATCTAAGAGTAGGTGATCTACCTAAACAATACAAACACTAGAAACAGCTGCAGGATAAAAATAAGAATAAACTCTGCTTGTGGGTTAAGCAAAAGGCTTTGAGAAGTGTGAACTTGATACTGAATGTCATCAAAGGTTCTGTGAAAAGTATACTAGCATTGAGGAAGCAAGAGTTAGACATGGCATTCTTAGATAAAAATTACTGTGTTAAAAAATGCTGAAATTAAAGCCAGGTGCTGGTGGCTCATGCTATAATCCTAGCTACTCAGAGACTGAGATATAAGGATTGAGACTCAAGCCAGCCCAGGCAAATAAATTTAAGAGACTCTTATCTCCAGTTAACCAGAAACAAACCAAAAAGTGGAATGTGGTTCCAGTGTTAGCCTGGAGAGAAAAAGCCAAGCAAGAGTGCAAGGCCCTGAGTTCAAGCCCCAGTACCAACACACAAATCCACACACATCACACACAGAGGCAGAACTTCCAGAACGGTAACTCTCAGGATTAGGGAGATGAGGTTCTTCAGCATCTAATAAAGTCTCATAGACATTTTTGTTAGAAATAAATACACTTGTACCTGAAATATCACTGCAAAATCTTAATAGTAGATATTAGACATATTTGCTAAGCCTAAAAATAGAGGAATAACTAAATCATGTTATAGTCATAACATGGAATACCATTCAGCCTTGAAAAATTGTATCTTCAAAATATTAATCAGGTGAGCCACTACACACTTGTACTCTCAGGGCTCATGAGGCAGAGACAGGAGGATCCAAATGTAAGGATCAGCCTGAACTACATGATGAAACTCATTACAAAAAAAAGAAAAAGAAAAGTAGAAGACAGAAATGACAATTATTATTTTGTTATTGTTATGTTATTATAATGTTAAATTAAAAGGGCACAAAACTATTATATAGTGTCTAATAATTATAATATTTTATAATAATTATAATAAATTATAATTTTAAGTCCTGATATGCACAGAAAAGTGGGAAGAAATATAACAACACCAACATAAGCCAACTCAAGAGCAGAGAGCATACATACACAAGTCTATGTGCAGGGAGTAATACTTCACATAAAAAAAAAGTATTTCCAGAACTGGGTGCAAGAACTCACACCTCTATCCTAGCTATTCAGGAGGCTGAGAACTGAAGATCACAGTTTGAGGCTAGATGTGAGGATAAGGGAAGTCTGTGAGATTCTTATCTCCAATTAAACACACACACACATTCACACACACACACACACACACACACACACAGAAGTGGTGCTGTGGCTCATATGGTAGAACACTAGCCTTGAGCAAATAAAACCCAGGCCTTGAGTTTAAGCCCCAAGACTGGCAGGAAGAAAAGAAAAGAACGGGAAAGGTGGAGGTGGAGGTGTGGTAGGGTAATAGACTAATATCCTTTAGTAAAAAGCTAAAGGACAGTGCTTTGGCCCTGAGTTTAAACTCCAGTACTGGCATACACACACATACACACAACACACACACATACACACACACACACCTGCCACAAATGTAGAACAGAAGGTACTGCAAGGTAAGAACAAGGAAACAAAATAATAGGCAACAGGAAAACAAAATTTAAAAAAACAAAAGCAATATACAAGGGGACATGTATATAACTAATGTTAGCTAATTAAACAAACCAAAAAAAGTAATGGACATGAAGTTACTGTCTTCCAAGGATTAAAGCAGAAGGACTTCCATAGTTGACTCACAAAGACTGGTATCTTCTTATTTTCAGGATGAACTGGTCTGTTTGCTGTTCTTCCTGCTTCCTTGAAGTTCCAGTTTGATTGTGTGATATTTAGCTTGAGTGACTCCACTGTGGTTTGGTTTGGTGTGTTTTGGCCTAGTGCAGGAACTCATTCCAAACCAATGGCCTCTCATAGTTCCTGTTGACTGTAATTCTAAATGATGCATTTCAAATGGTAGTATTATAAGTAATCACTGTTGGCATTTAATAAATGCTTATTCCAGGGCACTCTTTGAAACCACCTTGTAGAACTAGGAACTTTTTTTTTCCATTTCACAGAAACTTAAGGACAAAAAAAGGTAAAGTAACTACAAACCAGGCACTGGTAGCTCACACCTGTCATCCTAGCTACTTAGGAGACTGAGATCTGAGGATGGCAGTTCAAAACCAGCCCAGGCAAGAAAATCCATGAGAGTCTTATCTCCAATTAATCACCAAAAAGCCAGAAGTGATGCTGATGTACCAGAAGTGGTATATCACTAACAGCAAGAAAAACTCTGGGACAATGCCCAGGCTCTGAGTTCAAGCCTCAGGATGGGCACAAAAAGAAAGGAACTACATCAACAAAATGAATAACAAAAATTGCCTGGCAGAAATAGAAAATCCAAAAACTGGCAGAGGTAGAAGGTCCAGAGACAAAATTGCCATTGCAAGCCGGGTCGCTGTGGATTCAGGCCTGTAATCCTAGCTATTCAGGAAGCTGAGATCTAAGGATCGCCGTTCAAAGCCAGCCTGGGCAGGAAAGTCCATGGAGCTCTTATCTCCAATTAGCCACCAGAAAATCAGAAGTAGTGCTGTGGCTCAAGGAGTAGAGTGCCAGCCCTGAGCTTATGGACAGCGGCCAGAGTTCAATCCCCACGACGGACCCCCCCCCCCAAATGCAATTGCAGATGTCAAATGTACACCCCTAGCTCTCACCGGCTTTGAAGACACCCCTCCACAGATTAGGATAGACCACTGCAGTAGCCTTAATTCCACTCAGAAGGAGGCTTGCCTAGTACTTTCTTTTACCATTATTTACTCTGTGTGCGTGAGAGAGAAGGGGAGAGGGGGGAGAGGGAGAGAAGCACATGCCACGCACACAAGGGTGCGGGGCTTGGGGCTTGAACTCAGGCCTGGGTGCCGTCCCTTAGCTTTTTTACTCTGCCCCTCCACTTCCAGCTGTTTTGATGATCAATTGGAGGGTGTCAGGCACTTTCCTGCCCAGGCTGGCTTTGATGTGGGATCCTCAGGATCTCAGCCTCCGGAGTAGCTAGGAGTTTAAAGGAAGCCACGAGAGGCTGATTCTTCACCCGAGGCCCAGGCTGCCTAAAGTAACTTCTTTTATTGTCGCCAGCACTGGGGTTTGAACCCGGGGCTCTGAGCCGGCTAATCCGGTGCTCCACGGGACCTGAGCCCCCCCCCCCTCAGCCCAGCTTTTCACGCGTTGGAGATGGAATCTGAGAACGTCCCTGGCACTGTTGGCTTCCAATGGAGATCTCCCGCCCCTCGGGGGTGGGGGCGAGGGGGCGGACTCCGGAGGGAGGGGGAGAGCCGGGCGGGGCGGGGCGCGCGCTTATGACGCAAGAGGCAACGGAAGCCATGGGAACCGCGACCCTCAGCCAGATCCGGCGAGCGGCCCCCGTCGGAGGAAGCGCTGACTTCCGGCCGGCGGGTCCCAGCGAGGAGCGGGGGAAGGCGTCGCGGCCGCCTCCAGAGAGCAATTTCAATCTCACCCCATCTTGGGGGCTGTTAGCGCCATGCCAAAAAATAAAGGCAAGGGAGGCAAAAACAGACGCCGAGGCAAGAACGAGAATGAATCGGAGAAAAGAGAGTTGGTGTTTAAAGAGGATGGACAGGAATACGCGCAAGTAATCAAGATGTTGGGAAATGGACGACTAGAAGCAATGTGCTTTGATGGTGTGCGGAGGTTATGCCATATCAGGGGAAAGCTGAGGAAAAAGGTTTGGATAAATACCTCAGACATTATCTTGGTTGGTCTACGAGATTATCAAGACAACAAAGCTGATGTGATTTTAAAGTATAATGCAGATGAAGCTAGAAGTCTGAAGGCGTATGGAGAGCTGCCAGAACATGCCAAAATCAATGAAACTGACACGTTTGGTCCTGGAGATGATGACGAAATCCAGTTTGATGATATCGGGGATGATGATGAAGACATTGATGATATCTAAGCCAAACTCAACGAGTTATATTCCACGTTTTCCAAGGATTGTTCTACGGTTGTGATCTTGGCCATCAGCTGTTACTAGTAAAATTTTGTTTAACATAAATATAGCTTGTTGAAACATTGATTTATTTTTATTAAAAAAGTTTTAATATTTCTGAAAAATGTTGATGCTGAGTTATCTTCACTAACGTATTGACAGTTCTTGAGATCAAATAGAAGTTATCAAACACAGATATTCACTTAAAAAAAAAAACTTCCACATCTTATCGTCCTGAGTAGCTAGATTCACAAAGTGAGCCACCAGTGTCTGAGCTCCTAAATTAATTTTATGTGATTTGAATAATAATTTTAAAAATTACTATAGCCCGAAGTAAACTATTATTGGCAATTATTAGAGATAACTCTAAAGGAAAAAAAATTAAAGACCTCTGGGGATTAAATCTTTTAAACCTCTGTTTTGATATCCAAAGAGGCCATTATAAGTTAAGGTCTTCTTGATCCTCAGGAACTGTTTGCCCCAAGGTTCCTAGTTGCTGGCATCACCTCCAAGTGTAGAGTGGTCTAAAATCTAAAGCTTATTGCAGTTCTAGCAGGGAGAAATGCTTTCCCTGGATGATCTTACTCTGAAGGCAGGAGCTGCCACTGTCTATGGAACATAGTGATTAAGGAGACTGATTAAAGGATACTTTCAGGACTTCCAGTACATGAGAGCTTCAGAGGAGAACCCCTAGTTCTAAGAGAACCCCAGAAATTACAGTAGCAATGCTTATCTTTACTTTGCTTTTTTTTTTTATTGAGGCACAGAAGAAAACCAAAAAGAGTATCATTAGTATTCCTGACAATCTTTCCTTAGATGTATGTTAAGATATTGAAATTTTAAGAGGAAAAACAAAGGTCTAAATTTAACATTTTGGAATCTCCTAGAGTTGCCTAAGACTCCAATTACATCTTTAATAGCCTGGGTAATAAAATAAGCCCTTTGAGCACAAGCACTAGTGGCAGGCCAATTCCAAGTGAGGTAGACAAGAAAAGAAGGGTAGAGGAAGGACTCAGAAGAGCATGCAGCAAGTTGTGGGAACAACAGGAGCTGGCTGCTGATCTCTGGATGATTTTTTCCAGGAGTAAACATGGATGTTCCAGCTTCTGTGTCCTTTGTGGCCCAGAATGAGCCACAATGAAACATTTGGAGTCACAACTTTAAGAACTCTAAGGTGTCAATTTATAAAGCAACTGGGAGTTGAAGGAACTACTTGCTTCAATCAATTTCAGTTGTGGCAGATTGCTTCTCTTTGAGTAAGAAAAACCAGAACTACTGATCAAACACCAGACAGAATCCAGAGGAGCAAGAATGACAAAGGCGCTGAGCTGATCTTCCATGGGATGGAACTTGAAAATGTAGATGCTAAGTTCATCAGGGTGATTTCAAATTTGCAAACACCTGAGAGCCAGGCACCTATGGCTTACACCTGTAACCCTAACTCTTTAGGCAGCTGAGATCTGAGGACTGAGATTTAAAGCCAGCCTGAGCAGAAAACAAGATTTTTCTTTCTAATTAACAATAGAAGCCATAAGTGTAAGTGTAGCTCAACTGGCAAAGCATCAAAGCCTTGAGTGGTCTAAGGGTCAGTGCTCAGACCATGAGTTCAAGCTACTGTACACACACACACACACACACACACACAAGGGGGGGCGGAAGGAAGGGAAAAAGGAAGACAGAAGGAAGGAAGAAAGGGGAAAAAGAAAACATTTTAAACATTTTAAGCAGAGGTAGCCAGGATCATACATAATAAGAAGAAAAGGCTACCTCAGTCAAAATTTTTCTCATGTGCCTCAGCCTGCAATTCATGTGACCCCAGAGGTCAAAATGAAGTTTTCTCAGTCTGAATGGAGATCAACAAATAGTCCTATTACTATTGAGTCTATATCTAAACCTGCTATGAAATAAGCTTACCATGAATTATTTTGCCCAGTTCATCAAGTTTCTTCCTTCTAAGGAGTCAATGTCTAGAGGAAGCTGCACTTTCTGTATAAGTTAGAAATGAGATTCTTCATAATGCAAAGGACATTTTCACTTCAGATAAAGGCAGCAGAAAGCCCAAATTCAGAGATGGAATCAGGACTATGTATTGTTTAGCAGTAGTGTCTTCTGATGTCTCTTCTGATGTGTATTCTCAAAGGATAACTGTGTCTTGTCAACACGGACTCAGGTAAGATCATTGTTTCCTTGAATTTACACTAATAAAAAGGTACCTTTTGCTCTTAGGGATCTAGAATCAGTAAATCATTTATAAGTCCTGTCAAAATGACTTTTCAAGCCCAACAAGTCAAAATAAGACTTCTGATTGATACCCAAAAAGAAAATCTGATCCTGTTAACTGCAGACATTTATTATGGACAAGATAAAAAGGAAATGAGTAGCCAGAATAGAAAGCACTGAATATTTAAAAAACCAGATCCAAGGGCTGGGAAGGTGGCTCAGTGGTACAGCGCTTGCCTTGCATGCCTGAGGCCCTGGGTTTGATTCCTCAGCACCACATAAGCAAAAAGAAAAAAGCCGGAAGTGGCGCTGTGGCTCAAGTGGTAGAGCGCTAGCCTTGAGCTGAAGAGCTGAGGGACAGTGCCCAGGCCCAGAGTTCAGGCCCCACGACTGGACCAAAAAAAAAAAAAAAAAAACAGATCCACTGAAGGGATTGCCTCTTGAAACAAAGGCTATTGTCCAAACCTCAGTTCACCCATCCAGAGGCATTGTGTCCATTATTATGAGTCGTGCCTAATCCTGTGAAAACTAAAGAGAGGAAGCAAGTGTTCTGGACTCCCTTGCAGCTAGGGTTCTACATTAACATACATCTGTCCACCTCCAAGAATTCTGAAGGGTAGACGTGAGGGTAGGCCAGCTGTTCATCCTATGATAGTAAGTAATGTTGCCAACCATTAGATTTTACAGTGATATTGATAACACTTCACTGTCAGGAAGTAGCCTAGAAATATTCTTGACTTTGCTCATTGAAACCCCTCCACAAACTATCATTATAGGTTAGTTTTTTGTTTTTTGTTTTTTTTGGGTCCAGTTGTGGGGCCTAAACTCTGGGCCTGGACACTGCCCCTCAGCTCTTCAGCTCAAGGCTAGCACTTGAGCCACAGCGCCACTTCCGGCTTTTTTTCTTTTTGTTTATGTGGTGCTGAGGAATCGAACCCAGGGCCTCAAGCATGCAAGGCAAGCGCTCTACCACTGAGACACCTTCCCAGCCCTCTATAGGTTAGTTTTTTACTGGTTTTGAACTATTTTTGTTGGACTAAGGATTGAACCTTGGGCCTTGCACATACTAGGTAACTATGAACTTTAAATAAATGGGATCACACAATTTGAAAAAATGGAAGGGAAAGGAAGGGAGGAGAGCAAGAGAAGACATTTAATAAAATCACATCTTTGGGCCCCAAAACATTTGAATTCATTTAATCTAATTTGAGCTCTTGCCTCTTATCTGATAAATTTAGACTCCCTAACTTTGACAATTAACAAGAAAGGAGTGTAGGCTGGGTATTGGTGGCTCGCGTCTATAATCCTAGCTACTCAGGAGGCTGAGATTTGAGGATCCCCAGTTCAAAGCCAGCCAGGGCAGGAAAGTCTGTGAGACTCTTATCTTCAATAACCACTCAGAAAACCAGAAGTGATGCACTGTGGCTCAAGTGGTAGAGTGCTCACCTTGAGCTAAAGAGGGATAGTGCCCAGGCTCAGAGTTCAAGCCCCATGACTGACAAAAAAAGAAAAAGAAAGAAAGTAAGGAGAGTAAGATAAAGAAAAACTGAGGTTTAAGATCTGCTGTGATTTACATAAGAATGAAAAGCTTGAAGTCTTTTTTTATTACCCTCTAGGGAGAATTCTAGATAAACAGTCTATTTGTAACCTGTGACTAAAAGGTTTATCTGAAAATGCACTCTAAATGTAATTGTGGTTTTCTCTGTGTTTAGTCTATTAAATACTGAACAAAATGTAATCTGCCCTTAGAATTCCAGAAAACAACTACCTGCAGCTAATTGGTATTTGGATATATACAGAGAGAGAGAGATGATTTTATGCATGTCTAAATTGGCACGCCTAATTTAAAACTTTCTTGCTTATCAGTATCTGTCTGTGTATGTGTGGCTATCTTTAGGATAACTCTTGCAATTGTAGAATAAAGGGGCTATTGTCTCTTGTTTCTTCCCTGCCCCTTCCTTTTTTTAATCTTCTGCTACCTATTCTAAAATGTTATACAAAAATTCTTATCTCAGCCCTAAATAAAATACAAACATGAAGGAGTTAACTTTCAAATACTTAGAACTAAAGGAAAGGAGATCATTTTTAAACCAAGCCATATGGAACTGCCTAATTCGATGTGGATAGTTGATCTTAATCTGTTTTATTCTGTTAAAATTTAGTTTTAGCTTTCTTTTACAGTATATTTGGGTCTACTAACTAATGTGCTTTGTGAACTGTTAACACTGTTGAGGATTACTTTCCTCCTGGAAAGTAATTCTAATTAACATTTGCAATTCTATATGCGAACCTAGGTAAAAATTTTATATACTGATCAGAAATCTGTGGTTCACCTCTACAATCAAATCTATTCAGGAAGCTGAGTTCTGAAGATTATCATTCAAAGCTAGGCTGAGTAGAAAAAGCCACAAGACTCTATCTCCAACTACTCAGAAAAAAAAAAAAACAGCCAGACCAAAGGTGTGTCTCAAGGGGTAGGGCACCAGCCATGAGGAAGAGCATGAGGTCCTGAGTTCAAGCCTCTGGTATTAGGCACATACACAAAATAATATATGATACAAAACTAAAAATTCATTCTCTCTATATATATTTATATTTAAAATTATATATGAATAATTTTTGTACTGGTCCGGGGGCTTAAACTCAAGGCTTGAGCACCATCCCTGACATATAAAATTGTCAATAAAACCTGTAGCATTTCTGCTGTTTGTAATCAGTATACTTCCAATGGGAAAAGCATGCCATTT